ATGATGTATAGTTACAGTCAATGATGAGTTGATGTTACATCCTTAAATAACAAAAAAGATGAAAGCAATTTATTCTTTTCTGTGTGACGTCACTTCTGGAATTCAGTGATTATAATTCTCCCAAAATTCCTCTCGTTTTTGCTCTAAATAAACTTTAACCCTTTACGACCACCATCTGTCTTTCTCCTGCAACTCATTCACACAGACTAGTTAAATAGGTTATTAGCTGTTTTCTCTTTTCTTCAGTATGTCCTGTGAGTGTTAGTTTCTGTATACCCTCTTTCCTCGTTATATCCCAGATATCTCTTACTAATTGTATGTATAAGTTTTCCTGCAGTTATCATTTTCCATAAAATAAATTCCCTGTTGCTCATATGTTCTGTCTGTGGTAATCCCAGCATTCACCAGGAGAACTACATTTCTATCGTTTCAGATCTCTTCTTTATTTGTGAGGTGATTAGACAAATATTCACTGCCATTTAGATTATGTTACAGGTTAATATACGTTTCTTAATATTTTGCTTAGTTTCCAAAAGACATCTTTCGTTTTTCCTATGCGTTTTCAGATTTCTGCGTCACCTTTTCCCTCCTCTTTTTCCTGCAGTTATCATTTTCCTGAAGTTAAATTTCTGTGCCAGGTTAATTTTCGCGTCTCATACCTGCATTTTTGTTGTCAACCATCAGTCTGTCTTATTAGAATTAATTGTTCTTTCTACTTGCTTTTCTTGTCTAAGAGTTCTTTCAATTTTTCTTTTGAATCTGCTATCAATAATAGTATCATCCGCGTATCATATGTTGTTAAAACTATGCCCACTGTTAATAAGTCCTGGTAGGTTTTCTTGTTCTCTTAGAGTGGTTAAATAAATTCAGTGAGACAACGCATACATGTCTTTCCCCACCTCTATTTTTGTGTATACAATGAACTCTTCTCTGTCAGCATGCAGGCTGTTTGTTCCCAATAGATGTTATGGATTACTCGAATATCTTTCTTGCGGATATCTTAGAAATTTTCTAGTATTTTGAGTAAGTCTCGCTTTAACCTAATCTTACCCTTGTTTTGGTTGCTTTGAACGTCTATTGGGACTCAAGTTCACCCCAGACCCCCAAGTGGAATGTAAACATAGTGTCCATCGTCAAAGTGGTTGGCTCCTTCTGCTCCTCCAGGAGAACCTGACTCCTTCTGATACGCTCTATTTGAATAAAGAGTCAGATCAGGACAAAAATGGAATACTCCTGACATATCTGGTCTTGAGGTGCTTAGTCCTCACATTCCAGCCTTGAAAGAGTTCAAAAACATTTACACATTTGTGTGAAAAGTGATTTATTTTTCATCCTACAGCCTCTTTCCTGCTGACGCAAAGTCACAAGCTTATCGCTAGTCTCTTGCCATTTTCATGGAAATAGTTCTGACGAGCTCCATTTTTTAGGTCCACGAATTTAGACCTTTACATTTAAAGCTCGCAGTGCTATTCGGGGTCAAATCGACCGCATTCACTTCGTATATCATTTGTAAGATAGAAGTTTCATTCAGACTGCTTATTTTCAAGAACCGCTACTTTATAGAACAAGCTCACGCAAGTATAATTCCCGGAATACTACTGCTGTAATCTAGCAAGGGTTACTGAATGAGGAATAATAAAACGAAATGAAATGGTAATCTTTATAACATCAACAAAACACAATACTCATAGTGCTAGTGGTGAAATACTTAGCATATTACGATATTCATCTGCCTCCCCACGAGGTATGACGTGACACAAGGCCAAATTTAATGTGGGCATATACGAGCTCGTGGATTTGGCAAAAATTGCCCGTATACCCAGCATACGCGGGATCGGGTATCTGTCCTCTCCCCGGACGAGACTCTGCCCTTCGGCAGAGCCTCGTCCGTGTTCCTCTCTACCCAAAAGTAGAGAGTTCGTCACAGTAAGAGCTTCCCACAGCAGATTACCATCAATTACAATAGTGTCCAACGTATTTATGAGGATTGCGATATACCCATTAGTGTTCATAGGTACCGTATATAACAAGTACAATCTTAACCACTTCAAGTTTAGGGTAAATTGTTATCTCTCCTACATCTTCTCAATCTTCACTTCCTGCTATCTCCTCTTATGTCCATACCACTTACTTTATTTTCTAATCCTCTACCTTGATTTGCTCTTGAGCCTTGCATTAGATTAACATTAGTTAAAAATAGTTTTGTCGCGGCCATCATTTTGTAGTACTTATTATTATGCATACAATCCACGTTCAGTAATGCGTGTAAGTTGCATTGCAAGGACAACATCAGAGTCAGTGGACATGATCAAGACGACCTTGTGGAAACTTTGTGAGCAAAGGAAATTATACTAGATTATCCTAGTTCCCGTTTCTACATGATTAGAAGGAGCTAAGTCATATCCTGTATCTCAATCATATTAAGACACATTATCCATGTCTTCTGTGCTATACAAATCTTTTCCTTCAGTGAATAACTTTGAAATGTCAGGTACAGATACCGGTATGGTTCAGGATTAATTTCAACACAAAAGTATTTTTGATAGTTCTTTGGAATTGGTCTGTTGATTTTCCGAAGAACGTGATTCTTTGGTCTCATTTTCTGTCATTCTGAATGCTTCAAGCAAATATTAAGGTATCAGTTTCGTATCTATCTAGGTGCCCGTGTTTTCCATGATTTTAATAGATCATAATCAGTTGATCGGCGCTTACGCGAAGACCTAAGCATGCGCTGCTTCAGTTCTCTCCAAGACAGAAAATTCTGATCCCTGCTTCTTGTGCTCAAACTACTAATCTATATGTCTATTTCTGGATATGGCAGGGAATGTGTATTTTACCACATAATTCAAAGCTGTCTTTCAGAGACTTGATTTGAAAAGTCTCAAACCGTTTTACAGGCGATTTCTTGTGAGAGATATTCATATCTTTTTTTTTTTTTTTTTGGTGATTCCTGTCACAGATGTTACACGTTTTTTAAACCGACCAGTAGCCAAGGAATTCTATGGAAATTGTTCCATTGCTTTAATGTTCTTGAAACTAGAAACTACACTTTTATCCATTACTACGTTTCTATCCAGCTAAATAAGATTGCTTCTCTCTTCTTTAAAAAGCTTTCGTAATTCCTGAATGATTACATCCTCTAACATTCAAATGTTATGGAAACTTGGATTGAATGAATACTGACGGATCTTGATGTTATGGAGCTTATCTGCATAGCTTTATAAAAATATGAAACATATCACTGATTCAGGTGGTTCTGAATCAGCTATAATCTACTTAATCAAACCAGATGGGTTATCTCTTAATCCAATTACATAATTGGATTAACGTATAAGCCATCTGCTTATACAACTCCATTGATTTTGTCGTCTATTTGTTCGTTATCTTGTCCATGACCATGTTCATGAACACATAGAATGAATCTTTTCTACAAAATTAGGCTTCACAAATCCCTCATAAACTCATATAGTAACATGATGTCTTTGATATGAATGGGTAGCCATTTTGCAAGGGTTGAATCAAGTGAGAATATCCCGGAAAAATCTGCAGATTTCCAAACGTCGAATTCGTAATCACTGTTTGAAGGCACAAGTTGAAGTGAAAATTCTAAAAACTAAAAACCAGTAACGAAATTGGAGATCATCTATTTGTGCTTACACTGCACTAGGGGTTAAATTTCAAAATATAGGAAACTAGCAGTATGGCCCGGCGTTGCCCGTGCTTGATTCAAAAATCGTACGACTCATACAGCAAACGCTATCACTTGACTTAAAATATTTTGTCCTTCCTTGCCTTTAAAGGAGTGCCCTTCGCCGTGCTGATGTTGCTACATGCCTTACTTCTTGCCTATCTCACACTGTGAATTTTTTCTAAGCTCTATATAAACATTAAATCTGTTACAAAAAAAAGAACTAAACAAAATGAACACAAAACGATCAGCTTTAAAAAAGGACTGGAAAAACCGAATGAAAAAAGAATGTTAACGACAAATACTTTTTCACACCCAACCCAGTTCTGCGGAATCAGAATCAACGTTGAGTTTAAGCAAGCGAATGAGCCAATTGGAGTAAAGTGCCATGCAGATTTAAATTTTTCCCACTTGTGGCGAATGCAGCTATCGATTTCTTTTTGCATGCTAGCATGCTATTTAACATTCGTGTCAGTCAGCTGTTGGCTCTCACGCTGGCCAATAGAATCTTCCTGCCTATTCGTGGCAGCCAGCTATAGACTCTCACTCTAGCCAGTAGAAAATGGCCGCAAACTACATGAAAACTGCTGTAAAAGCATGAAAAAATCGATCATTTCCACTATCGATGGGAGTTGGGAAATGCAAAGTCGGTCTTGGGCTTCCCGCTAACTTGGAGCATGTGCATGTAAATTTTAGTGCAAATCCGTCGAAAATTGCAGCCGTACATTCGTTACACACACACGCACACACATCCTGCCTTTTATAGATAGAGATTTAAAATATAGAGAAACGGTTTTCCGTCTTTTAGGTACAGAATTTCGTAACTTGTTGCATATAACAAGGCCTTTGGATACGGAGTCCTTTCAAGAATGCCACAACTCGATCAGAGGTTATGACATTCGACTGGACAATAATTGTTGTCTTTCTATTATCAAGGAATGTCGTAATATTCATTTCAATATGAAAACCATCAATTAACACAAATCGGTTCCTAACGAATACGTCTGGCTATGCAAATTGAATTTGATTAACGATACATAGATCAGTGGATGATCTATGATTATTAAAAGTTTCTGTCCTATATGCAAATAGCTGATGGCCTTAACAGCAAGCTTCATTGCATGGTATTACTGTTACTGCAATGGGTGTTGACTCTGCGCGGAAAAAAAACTGAAAAACAGCATGAGATAATGATCTGGTTTCACTGACTCTATTAACTTGATCAACTGCTGATTATACAGACTCCTTTTTTTTCGTTTTCACCTTTTCTCAGTACAATTTCTATCATGACATTCGTCTTCTGTCCCTCAAGTCATAATTTATTCTACTTTTTTTCTTATTTACACAAGTGCTGGTGTTTCTCTCAGGGAAGAAGATCTAAGACCTATTTCTGAACATTCGTATGGCAGCAGGAGTTTCACTTTTCTTGTTGCCAATAACTCTACTGGAACTCTACATGTTTCTTGTGCTAGAAAACGAATAAAAGATATGACTCTGTCATGAAACTCATCTATCGCATTTCTGGATGTGGGATTGTTGTCGATTTTATATGTTTGACAAACATAACTATCGCTTTCAAACTAAATAAAAAAAGTTATTAGTGATTTTTTTTTAATTTCTTGTATCCTTTTATATAAGATACGGAAACGCACACTTGACAGTTTGTCTCGCATTTCTCTTTGTCTAGGTTTGACATGAATCAAACCAGCAAAAATAGTAAGAGTTACCCTCTCTTGTTTTAGTGTGACGATGAGAAGATACAGATGATATTCACGAATAATTGAGGCAAGTTATCCAATGTTTGCTAAGTGGGTATCATTTCTGGAATTATATCTGTATAACTGCAGCTACATCTGAATTAAATATCAGCAGCAGTTATTGATATTATTTCAATTATATAAAGCTTTTATCAGCTCAAGCCGTTGAAATATTTTTTCAACAGTTTTTTTATTAAGATGGCGACCATAGTGAGGGTCAGATAGCGTGTATTCTATTTTTATGTAAAATAACATAAAAAATCTGCCAGTACGAATATTTTATGTGCTCTAAATGATTTTACATAAACTACTGTACTAAAATGGGGTTTCTTTTCTTTTTCCCTTGCTGTATTGTTCAGGTGAAAATCACTACCACAGACAATAAACAAAACAATGACTTCTAACTTTAGGCCTTAAATCTTTCATTCTATGACACCTTTCATGTTAGTAAGACTCGTGACATCCAAAAATATTTACCACAATGCAAAGTGTTTAAATAAAAAAAAAAATAACGTTTTTATTCAGAATTGATCGCTGTTGCTTACAAAGTTGATGTTTGAAAGGGTGCTGTGAGACCTTACTACGAAGTTGTCTCTTCGTCGGTTTTTCTTGTTTGATTGTTTTAGTTTTGTTCTGTTTCGTTGTTGTTGTTGCTGTTTAACACGAGCGGAAAATGTCGGAAGAAAGAGGATAGACTTAAGGATAAAAAAATAGAAGGTCATTTGTTTGATAATACATTCTCGAGGTTGACCTTTTCAAGCGAAAGGAAATGTCAAAAATACAAAAGAACAGACGACATTGGTTAGCACCAAGGTTTCGTTGCTTTTTATCTTTTTCTTCATTTACTCTTGTTACTCATTTTGTCTTATCTTCCTCCTCTCTTTCATATTCCTCTCTTCTTTTCTTTGTTCTTTCTTTCCTTTCGCATCAGTGTTCTTTTTCCTTCTTTGTTTTTGATTTTACTTTTACAACACTTTTTTCTTTCTCATCTCTGATTTTGTTCATTCGCACCTTTTCCAGTTTTTTGTCTTATTTTTGTTTTTCGCTCTCTTCTTTTCCGTTTTCCTCTTCTTTTTTTTCAGTCCGATCCTTATAATGGCAAAGAATATCCACGTTTGATGCACAATGAAAATCCATGAAGACCAGGCAAACTTTAACACCAAATCAAGGAAGCCGTTACTGTTGTATAGCTCAGGGATGAATGTGATGTTGACACGTTATTAATCTCCACTATAGCTAATACATATGAAAAAAACACTGCCACAAAGCTTTTGCGTTTGATACTGGCGCTCACACGCTGACACCCAGTTTCTTTTGTTGTGGTGTCTATCATGTGAGCTTTGATCTTTTGTACTGTTTTTTTTTTCTGTGCTATTGGCCGATTTTGTGCTTTATGGCGAGTTTTGCTGATCTTGCAATGATATAAAAGAAAGTCATTGGTCAGGAGATGAGGAATATTTATGAAACTATCAAAAAAAGAATAAAGAATTTGTTATTTACTGTTAAGCCTCTGCTTAATGGGGGTTTTAACTATTTCCAATTCAAGGTCGGTTAATTATATTGGTTGCATTTGAGCTATGATCAAGATGGGTTTTCTGTTATACCAAAAGATCTTTTCTATCGTCAAATAATAACTACTTCTTTCTAAAATTCAAGACATGAAAAAATTAGCACTTGAGGGAAAATGGTTACATTTTACAAGGTGCACAGAAGTCACCTGGGGATTTAAAAATCTAGTGATTTCAATATGTTTTTATACAGAATGAAAATATAAACACTGGAAATATATTCGCGTTTATGAAAAAATATACAATACAAATATCCTCCATTTTCGACTTCACACAGACATAACAACTTTCTTCATAACAGTTGTTAAAAACTCTGGCTTTAGGTCTCATATCTCTGCCTAGTTGTTACCGTTGAGTTGCAGAATTGTCAGTGGTTTGTTGATGTATACGTACTCTCTGAGATATTCCACCAAAATAATAGGGAGGTGCCAGATCAGAACAATTTGGTGGCCATAAAATTTCGTAATTTTGCGAAATTATCCGATGATCAAAAGTTTAGCTAAATCCTAAATGAAATTCTATGAATTTAGTCCATCGTCCATATATTTTTTCCATATGTAATTTCCATATGTTAATTTAATTTCGGTAAAATAAACTATGAAAAACCTGACATGTTATGACATTCTTAGATACCTAGGTGAGTTTCAGAATATATATATATATATATATATATATATTCATGCCGGTAAATGTTCTTAATACTGTTTTTTATAAACAGAGCATCTATCCACTAAAATAACGTTTAAGTAAAATATATATATATATATATATATATATATATATATATATATATATATATATATATATATGTATCGTTTATACTCTTTACAAAAACATGTGGACCAGTAAATTATTAGAGTGTAATGCGTTTAAGGTGACTTATTTTTTGTAAATAGACTGTTCAAAATTGTAAATAGGCCAGTAATAGTGAATAGATAAATAAAAGCTTAAATGATTTATCTTTCCACGTCAGAGTAAATTAACTCAAGAGGTAGTATTCTCTGTGCTAAATGTGACATATTTTGTAGATCTCAGTCAGTTCTTTAAAGTCATTGTGTGAGTGTATGTGTGTGTGTGTGTAAATATTAACTTAAAACTGTGTAAATATTACCTTAAAACTGTATAACAACCTTACCAAATAACCGCGATTTCACCCCTCGGATCCGTCCAACGGGTGAAATCCTAGTAGCTTATTCAGGTATTATTGAACGTAACAGACAAAGAATATAGTTTATGTTTTTCATTAATTCATTCATTTTTTTTTTTTTTCGAACTAAACGCTTTACATTAAAAGCAAATCTATGAATGACCAGGTCATATATTACATTAATGACAGACTGTAATTTCAAATCTTAACTAATTAATTGCTTGATGAATACTGATGTAACAGTCGAAAGTGCTAGGATGAACTCTGTCTCCTAATCCACCTATGGTCTGTTCATTCAAATATTTCCAATTAATGTAAAGCGTTGATTGAAAAAAAGGAAACATCGCCGACTTTACTGTCCGTTACATTCAACATTGTGCGTGAGCGTGCGTGTGCGTGTGCGTGTGTGTGTGTGTATGTGTGTGCGTTTAAAAAATGGCTTCTTTAACGAATGGCTCTACGTGCGAGCAATAACAAAAGTAATCGGTGTCGGAATACTTGAACACTCGTCTTTTGTGAAATAGAAAGGTTCTGCTCCGTTGTCAGAATCTCTAGAAATGAGATAACTTAATTTTTTGTCGCGAAGACGAAAACCTTCAAGCTTGCATGCGCTCTGCTCATCATCAAAAGTTATGATAATCATAGCTTAGAGTTATAGGTAAATTAATCTGTCATTTTGATGTTATTATGCTAGTACCGATTAAAATTGATAGTCGTAGTTTACAGTTATAAATAAATTAATCTTTCATCTTGATGTTATTATGTCATAGTACAGTTATAGGATTAATCTTTCATCTTGATGTTGATTATCATAGTTTACAGTTATACAGTTATAGGTAAATTAATCTTTCATCTTGATGTTATTATGCTAGTACCGATTATAATTTAGTTTAACAATTTCTGACAATGGAAAAGAGAGTGTGAAGTATTTATTTCGTTGTTTAGAATGTCTTCTTGAAATATTACATGACAAACGAAATGATGTTGAGTAAGCAGCAATCGGCTCCTCCTTGAAGTGACATACCAATTATGGAGAAGATAGGATTTTATTTCACACGATCTAAGATTTTCATCCACTATAATCGCAGTCTTCATCTTGATTTAAGCTGATAGGATGTTGAAGGATTATACTTAATCAACAGCTAGATCTGCAGCTAGGAAAGTTGGTTCAATGAGTCGTTCCAGACAATTTTCCTCACCAGAATCCATCTTGAACGTGTATAAATCTACCATTCATCCGTGCATTGAATATCGATGCAAACTCTGGTCTGGTGCTCCTGCTATATGTCTTGGGATTCTCGGCAAAATCCAAAGAATTTAATTTTATTGGTCCTGACATGGCATCTCAACTTCAGTCACTTTCGCACCGTCGTGACGTGACTTTCCTCTGTCTTTTCTATAAATATTTTCATGGCAATTGCTTTGATCAGTTTTCCTACTTGGTACCTCGACCACATGAATTTAATCGTACTACTAAATTGGTACCTACCTAGTACTATCGTTTTACTCTTGAAATAACTAAATGTAACCGTAAGTTCAGGCGCTTTCTCCTGTGAAACTCTCTTCCGAATTCTTGCTTTTCTGCCATCTACCACCTTCAAAACTTTAAATACAACGTCAATCGCCATATTCTGTCTTCCTAATTTCTGTTTTTTATTATCCAGTCTCCTCACTAAGGTCTTCTCCTTTTCTTTCACTCTCAGTAACCTCTTGCATCTTAGTGGCATTATCGCCTTCCATGGGACTAAATAATTTAAACAAATACAAAAGTTTAGTAAAAATGAATAAATCTACAAAAAAATGCAAAATTCAAAACTCTACAAAATCATTAATACTTTTACTGTTCAGTCATTGGTTATTGATAATCTTCCCGTGATAATTAGCGCACGATACTTCGACAAAAAAAAAATATATTTCAGGAAAGTTTTTATCTTGTTCTCGAAAATCTTGAATAATCTTAGCGAAACGTACATTAATTAAATTCACATAAATTCAGATAATTTGGGCAGTAGCTTTTCTTCCGTTCACTTCTCTTATATTCACTTTAACGTCCATTTCTTCAGAGGGTATTAGAATATAAACGACAATTTTATTACTTGTAAAGATATTTATCTTTTTTATGCATGAAAATGTTTAAAATCTTGCCATGTCATTTAGAATGCTGTTAACATTTTTACAAATTCATAAAACATAACTTTGCTGTATTCAAAGCATAATACGTTTACATTATTTATTTTTACCTACGTTGTCCCCAAAATAGTCACTTTCCTGTGTCATCTATTGTTTTAGAATTATCCTTTCTCGCATTTAGCTTTAATAATATCTATTGTTTCTCTCTTCTCTCTCTCTCTCTCTCTCTCTCTCTCTCTTGTAGTAGTAGTAGTAGTAGTAGTAGTAGTAGTAGTAGTAGAGTTCAGTGTTGAAGATTCTGTGTGAATCGATAATATAGATAATTATGTCATTATGCAGTAAGGTTGCTTTGCGCAAAGTACAGAACTCGTGTTTCATCTCCTCTACCCCCTCCTCCTTTTCACTCTTGTTAATTCTCTTATTCATACAATTTTTACTCTTTTAATTTTTCTGTCTCTTTTTTTTCTTTTAATTTCCTTTTATTTTTTTTCCTCCTCTTCCTCCGCCTCCTCTTCCATCTCTTTTTTTTTTTTTTTTCGTCCGTAGTAATTCTCCTTCTTGTTTTCCTCCTTCGGATCACATTAAATTTTTGGCTTCCTTTCGGCGTCTTAAGCCAACTTTTCCCTTCCGACCACATCGTATGAAAATCTCACATCAATCACCTTCTTTTTACCTCGTTATTTTACAACTATCAAGCCGTAAGCAACAGTTAAGTCAACATTGACACGCCATTTCCTGCTGCTTCGCCCAGTAAACGCTTTTCAAATTTAACTCTTCTTCCGAGTTAGAAAGCTTTCGTGTTTGGCATCACATGCATGCGCAGATCAAACTTTATCCATCTAGCAATTACTTTGTTCAAAAACTAAAATGCAAACAGCGTTTATTTTCTTTTTTTTAATCCCTACGTGTTTCTAAAGATTAAAACGCGATATCGTTCTTGTTTTTAGTGGGACAACGTCGGCAAGAAAACAAAATAATGTACTGACTTTACTACAGATGAGTGAAAAAAATGAGTCGACATCAATGATTTCAAAGCATTAAAATGCTTTCATTTGTTGTTATTTCCTAAGCTTGCATCACTTTTGGGACAAGGACCCAACCATCGAGTAGCCAGTAAGAATCGAAACCACTAATAGCGATCTACGAATCCATCTTTTTAACCATAACACCACCATGAGGTTTCCAAATGCTTCTAATTGTTACTTGAAAAGCCAAAGAAAAAATTTACCAAAGCAGTCTGTGGGTGAAATT